AGGTGGGGAGGACTCTCCAGCTGTCTGAACACATTCCTGTGATTTTCTGCAGAGCCTTTGCTCCAGCTGTGGATGCACACACCAGCAGCTATAGGTGCCCAGAGCCAGACTCCACTGCAACAGTAACACCACTGCTGTTCCCAGGAGAAAAATCCCATCCCTCCTACCACAGCCACTTGAATTCCAGGCAGCCTCCACAACACTATTTACCACTTGCTCCCTGTACCTCCAAGCAAGGGGACAGGCTGTTCAACAGCTTTATTAGGAACAATAACACACACATAGCTGTGAGCCAAACAAGGGGGGGGACTCATCATCAAGGCAAACATGCCACCCCACTTGCAGCTGCATTCCTCTTAGCCTTGGGATCAGTGGTACCTTCTGACTCCAGGCGGTCCAGCCCGTAGGTCACAGCTGTACTGATCCTCCTCACAGATGGAAGAGCTGTCCTCCTGACAGAAGATGCCATTGATGCTGGAGTTACCAGGACCACAGTTCTACCAGATGGCTCCTCTGTCTGTCCAGACTGGGTAGCAGTCAACTCACCAGGAGCTGGAACAGCCTTCTTACTGGTGACCAGAACCACATCCGAGAGAGCTACAGAAGACAGGAAGCAACAACAGTTTAGCCCAGTATTCAAAAGCTTATCATTTAAGAATTAACTCCTTTAACTCCAGAGTGGAAGAAGCTAAACTCTTGCATCTTTCAAGATGTGCAAGTGACTCTTATGAAAGGCTCTCCACCAGCACAGACAGCATAGGAGGTTCTCCTTAACAAGAACTTAGGTATCACATCCATTGCTTTGAGGACTGCTAGTCACCACCCCACACAGTAGGATCAGAGCACTGAGACACTGGCTGAGATCTGAACCAAGCAACAGATCTAGTTGTATGGTGCAGAGATAAAAATTACTTGAATTTATAATTAAATCCCAGAAGCCAATTAATTAGTGGAAACTGCCAGAAGAGCCTTCTCTCCCCTACAAAGGGAACTTAATTTAAGACACAGAATACAAATAGCTTTTTTCTTTTGATGCCCTGCAATATAAGATTCACCAGAAAAGCTGCCCAGCAGCAGTTTTATTACAGTGGTACCTACTGCTACAGAAATACACTCCAGCTCAGTCAGCTTTGTCCTAAGTGAACCCTTGCTGCACTCTCATCAAGAAGACAGACTCCTACCTGTACCTGCCAAGGTGACATCAAGCCAGTAGGCAGCAGCTAGATGAACACAACTGCTTAAAGTGTTTCTCTGCAAGCTACATCAGCCTGATAAGAACTTGGTATTCCTCAATGAAAGCGAGTATCAACACAGACTTCTACACCCAAGGGCTTGTCAAACCCTTGCAAGAAGGTATTTACACCCAACCCCACCCTCCCCACTCCCATATTACCCCAGATGAAATATTTTCATCCTTCAGATGTAAGCATCAGCAATCTGAGTTCTCCCTCCATAAATAAAAGCTGTTGTAAATATCTAAGGCTAGAAGTCAGCTTGTTAGCAAGGCAAGATGTGGGGGTTTTGTTTGGTTTAGGTTTTTTCTTTAGTCTCCACTGTTATTTGGAGGAAAAACCATTATGCTAGCATATTTTGCTGTGGTGGATCTGGTAGCATGGGAGAGAAAGCAGTGGCAACTCAGGGCCAGAGGTGGCTTGCAGAAGGTTAGAAAAATGTCACTTAGAATATGAATGCTGTGTGTCGAGACTCCAGTGTCCAAGCCCTGATTTGGGTTTCAGATGTACAATCTTGTGTGGAAAGAAGCCTACAGTCCTTGAAGCAGAACCCTACCTTTTACATCCAGAGTGCTTGCCATAGAGGAAGTACCAGCTGCCACCAGTATCTGGGTGGCACTAGAAGCTGCTGGCATCTGGGTGTCCTCCCCACTGTTTTCCTGAGGAAAGCTCGCAGCTCCTGCTCCCCAGGTAGCACCAGGCACCAGTGTCACAACTGACAGAGCAGCATCAGCCTCCTGGGCAACTGTTGTCACCTCCTGAGTAACACCTACAGCAAGAACACATGTCAGTACCAACTCACAGGACAGCTGACAGCCACAGAGCAGAGTCTGAAGGAATAACCCCATGCATTAGTATTTCCAGAGCCACAGCACAAGCAGCAGGTCCAGCCAAGCACCATCAGGGCAGTGCAGCATAAGGACAGTTGGGAGAACTTGCATAACAGGTATGAGGGCAGCAGAATCAGTCCTCATTTTCTTAATTGCTCCTTTGGGACACAGACCCACTGGAGAGCAATGCCAAGAGTCCAGCACTGCAGGCCTGTGGTGTGAAACAGCACCTGAAGCATGAGAGGCTGCCAGAGCAGTGCCTTTAGCAACCAGCTCTCATGGCTATGAGACTTCAGCTTTGCAGAAGAGTTTGTTTCTGTTGCACAACTCTTATTGATAGTGTTGTTTCCCCAACATCTGGGAAACAGCAGAGAGGGAACCTGCTGACAAGTCAAGTGCTTATAAATTAGTCTAGAAATTAATCAGTCAGGTTTCAGCACCAGCATGCAATTAGCTTTCCTTCTTCACAGCAAAAACTCAATCTTTCAGATGCAGTGAGGGGAAGTTGTCCTTCTGCCTCTGTAGCCTAAGAGGGAAGATTAAAGATTCCCAGCAATTAAAACACAGCCCTGAACCCCAGCTCATGTTCCTCATCAACCCAGGAACCTGTCATTGCCCAAAATCTGACCAGACTTGTCTTAGCATTCTAAGGAAACAGTAGATACAACATCAAGCTGAAGGTGCCATCTCTGCAGGCAAGTGCAGTACAGGGTGACACCATTAGCCTGTGGCAGACTGTCTAAGAGAAATATTGTCTGCTGGCAACAGAGCTGGCACAAACACTGGACAGTCAGAGCCTGACCAAAGCTTCACTCTAAGGTGGGGAAACACCAGGAGCTTTTGTTAAAAGGACAGCCCAGAGCTGCAGACAGATATTTTGATCTGAGCATCCTTGTAAAGTCATGGAAGATGTTAGTTACTCATAGGCTACCAGTACAGCTCACTTGGTCCTGGATTTAGGAAGCCATCTATTGTCCCTGCATCTCTGCACTGACTGCAAGTCTCCATAGCCAGCAGTTGAGAGCTGTGATGCCAGATGCTGATTAACTCCCCTAGGAGTTATTCCCCCCTCCATTCTGAAGCAGGGCTTTATAATGAGCCAGTGCAAGGACCACCTTTGGGTCCCTGCACTTGCCCTAGCAAAGAGACACTTAGGGGAGTGTTATCCTCCTTGAAATAGTGTTGAACCAGTAGGTCAGAGGGTGGGCTCCCCAGTCACAGGAGAGGCACACCACAGGGTTATTCAAAACAGCTTTACCTATCTCTGGTCAAGGCAAGATGCCTACAGCCACCCCCCAAAACCACTGTGTGAGCAAAGCCAAAGCCCCTGCTTTGGTTACACTACACAGACTGTTTGCAAAGCAAAATTTTTTAACCAGCACCAAGTCTCTGCTGATGAGACTCCAATTCTCTAGAGAGGGTCCATACTTAAACACACTCTTCAACCCCAGCTCTGCTGCCAGTGCCTTTCCAGGCTCAGCTCTCCTGTTTGCTATCACAGCCCAACTCTCCCAGCCTGAGGAGCAGAAGAGGCAGCTCAATGCAGTTGCTCCACATGACAGTGAGGCCAGGACAGCACCCAGCAGACTGGGCCTACCCACACACAGGGACATCAAGTCCAGGAACAGTCAAAATTAGGCAGTGCTTTATGGATGGGGGTTACCTGTCTGGGTTGTAACCCCTCCAGAGGTCCACAGCCTCTCCTGGAGGAAGAGGCTTCCTACCTTTAGTGCAGGTATCAAGATCACACCTTCACTTCCATGAAAGGAAGCACAGATTCCCAAAATCATCCCTCTTAATCCTACACTTGGAGGCAAGTGTCTGTAACAGGCCTGTTTTACCTTTCCATGAGCTTTCCAGAGTAGGAGAGAGGTCAGACTGGGTGTGTGTCACCAGAGCAGCCTCCGGCTGGGATGGTGGGATGCTCTTCCCCTCCTCTGCTGTGACTGCATTTACGTTTTCCAGCGAGCCGAGATCAGCCACGTCTCCATCTGTCAGGTTCTCCATGTGCAGAGCACCACCAGCACCTGGGGAAGCTGCTGGCAGCTCCTCCCCTTCCACCAACACTGTGCTGTTGGTCTCTGGGGCAAGCTCAGGAGTTGGTGGAAGGGACGCTGGGGAGGGCAGTGCTCTTGTTGCATCCTCTTCCTCCCCCACACTTCCCAGGGGGGTCTGGGACAGTTCTGCTGCCCCCAGGTCCTCTGTCACCTCTTCACAAGACACACTTGCCCCCTGACTTACATCTCCCAGTTTTGTGTCATCGCAGTCAGGTAGCACAGTGTCTGTGGGGGAACTGGTGACCGTGCCAGCCGTGGTAGGCAGCTCTCCTTGCCCAGCCCCTGTCCCTGCTCCCAGGTGGAAGGAGGCCTCAGACACCATGAGGCGACCTTTTGCAGCCACAGATGCTTGAGCAGCCAAATACTTCAGAGGGCTCCCTGTGGAGGCTCCCACCTCGGAGGTCACACTGTGAGGCTGGGGAGATGGGATGACAAGGTGGTCACTTGCTGCTTCCCAGCTTGGGGAGCTGGGGTACAGTGTGGGCTTGGGTGCAGCAGAGGGGTTTGAGCTGTTCTCTGCCTCCTCCTCCTCAGCTCTGCCAGAAAGGGGGTTTGCTGAGAGGCCAGCAGAGCTATGCTCTACTTCAACACCTCCCTCTGTGGTGGCTTCATTAATGGCACCATCAACAGACTCCTCCTGGACAGCAGGGCTCAGTGTGGTCACAGCTGTGGTCAGCATGGCCTTGAATGCATCATCCTCATCCAGCTCTGACTTTGTGGGACCCAGCTCCTCCTCATCCACAGCAGCCACTGCCACAGCAGAGGTGGGAGCCCCCAGGCCCTGGCTGCCCAGGATGCCATGGCTTGGGCTTACAGGCAGCACGTCTCCTTCTGCAGCAACAGCTTCACTGAAGGGTGTCCCAGATGGCTTTGCAGAGGGCTCCTCAGAGACACTCTGCTCAGACGGGCCCAGGTTATTTTTCAAGTTCAGCATACTTGTCCTTTCATCTTCTACCCCATTCCCCACCCAGGGGCCATGCTGGGCCTTTGTCATGTCCCTCTCCTCCAGTAGCTGAGAAGCAAGGCATGGTGGACTGGATGACAAGAGCAGGGTCAGGATGCTGCAGGTGACTACACAGATATTAAATCCCATTGATCTACTCATAGCTGAGATGTGCCCAGAAGCTTGCAAGGCTGAGAAGTCCAGAGTGCAAAAACCTAAAAAGGGAAAAAGGAACCAAGATTACACAGACCCATAACCAACCATTGACCCAGGACCTTAAATAACTGGAAGACAATTTCCAAACATGCCCATCTGTGGCCAGTTTGAGCAGATCCCTCCTACACATCCCAAGTTATGGATCCCCCACCTATTTTACTGCTCCTAGCCTACACAAACTGAAGTCTCATGCCAGACAAAACCAAATCCTGATCTGAAGCCCAAGACAGAGCTCACCAAGTTCACTGGTAGAAGAGACAGACTTGCAAGTATCAAGCGAGTATCAACCCATTTGTCCCTTACCAAGCCCAGGTCTGATGCTTGTGAGGTCCAGACTGAAGTCTCAGGCCTGTTACAGCAAGCCCTGCTCTTTGCATTGACACAGAAGGAACCAAAGAATATGCAGAGAGAACAAGGTGGGTCTATAGGACACAAGCCAAAACAGGAGGCATTAGGGCTGCACTAGCATCACACCCTGTATGGGCTCCTTGACCCCATGGAGAGAGGTTACAGCCCAGGCAGCAGCACTGCTGCATTAGCACAGTGCTCACACTGCACTGCACCATGGAGGCACTTCCAGAAAGTTTCATGTGTATAATCATTGTGTGCTTCAAGAGTTTCCAGGAGCACTGAAGCAGTGGCCCGGCAGCAATCCCACCAGCTCTTGGCAGGCTCTGCTGTCCCCAGATGATGGACACACAGAAGTCTTCATGACAGCAGCAGCACGCCCCCAGCCAGCTGCTTCTCAGCCCTGGGCTTGCTGCACCATCACTTGACAGCAGAAGACCATCCCATCCCAAGGCCCAGCTCAGCACATGCAGGACAGCCGATCACACAGGCAAACAGCCCTCCAGCACACAGCAGACCTGGTGAGGTCCTCCTCCCATCTCCAGGAGGCAGCTTGGCAGTGGCACAGACAAGCCCAATGCAAGAAAACTCCAACCACCACTTCCACTTTTCACACAATCACTTGCTTTGACTGGTATGTTCTGTTCCACAAGTACACCACTCCCACTTTCAAACTACAAGACTAAAGAATATTAGTAAAGAAAGGTCGGAGTTGCCAGAACCACCCCTCAGTCTTCTGAAGAAGAGCAAAGATCCCACTCTGTAGCCTTGCTCATGAGCACCAGGATGGGTCCCCCAGCTTGCTAGACTCCTCATTCCCCACCAAAACAGCACATGGGAAAATACTGCCCACACTTGTATGCAGAGTGCAGCAGCAAGCCACCTCACACTGCTGTCACACAGGGCTGTACCCCTCCTCAGCCTCTCATGCACCCCATGACACTGTGCAGGAACCAACTGCTCTTGTGGGGTAGAAGCACCACCAGCTTAGAGACATCAGTCAGAGTCAACCACTGGAGGCTCCCTGACCTGGCAAAGCCATCAGGGCACACTGAGTCACTTCTTCCACCGTCCCTGAAGCCCTGGTCCTCAGCACTTGGATCTGCTGGAACAATTCCCTGTCACAGGCCACACACATGCACCAGGTGCTCTGGGAGAAACAGAAGCCACCAAGAAGCTGCTCACCACCAATGGCATAGCTACCTACCACTTTTTTAGCACCTCCTTTCCCTGAAGATGGATGGCCACCCATCTACCTCCTCTACCCTCCCTGCCAAAAAAAAAAGTAGCTGGAAACTTAGAGCATTCAGCTATTCTTCCAGGTTAATCCTTTATGCACTTTTGTAATTAAAAAGCACTAAGTGTATTACACAAGTTAAATTGATAGTGTCCAATGATGTGCATCTGCCTGGCCATGCTGATGAATATAAATTTGCTCACTTTATACTCCTTTAGCAAGTGCCAGTTTAAATCAGACACATGGAAACATCAAGAGGTGTTTTTCTTAAAAAACAGTTTGGATCTAAATACAGTTTCTCTAGAAATCAGGAGTCTTTAGGTTACACAAGTAGTTTTAACAGTGGTTAAACCAAAGCAGAACTCCAGCTGCACTTGAAAGACAGCCATAGAATTTCCTCTTGCAGTCACAGTCATTATGTATATATACACATATACATTTTTAGGTTTCTAGCTCTAGGTTCTCAAACAGCCTAAGACATTCAGAAGGCTGTTAGCAGAAGCAGTGAAACATTAATCTCTTCCTAACAAGCTTACTCCATCTTTACTCAGATCAGGAGTGTCAGTGACTAAGTAGGAAAGCTGCCTAAAAGGCTAGCTTTTAGAGATCCATTAATTAAAAGACAAAAAATTATTGAGAGCCTTTCCTCCTTCAGGCTAGTAGATAACTAGTGGGCAGCCAGCCGTATCCCAAAATGAGGGTTCCCAGGGGTACTGTGGGCAGCCTCATGCTGTTTACCCCAGTCTGAAAAGCACTGTTGGCCATAGTCCTGTATTTGTAAAGGGTGACAGTAAAGTCAGCAAGTTATTTGTTCAGGAAATCCACAACAACTAGATCTAAGCTAACCTAGAGCTCTACAGTCAATGAAAGCTGGAGCTAGTGGCACAGAGCTTGCTGCAGGATAATGGCACAAGTTCACAATTCAAAGAAGATTAGTCAGAGCTTAAGATCTACTTAGCTTTAGGAAGAGGCTGGATTAGACAGTGTATGAACAGCAGTGACCTGGGTATCTTCTTAAGCAGAGTTTGACACCTTGCTGTAGCCCTTCCACTTAATGCTAAAGTAATCCAAGTTTTTAAAGCCATCCAACAAGCTGCAGAGGCATTTGTTACTCAGGCTGCACTGGGCTATACACCCATCCTCTCATCTGTCTGTTCTTACAGTCAGCCTGCTCCACAGCCTCAGCCCAGCCACACAAGCAAGCCACAGCACACTGCTCTGACCAAGCACCTCCTCTGTAGTAAGCTTCAGCTTTCTCATCAGTAGCTTGAAGCTGCAGAATAAGTCATTATTTCATGTCATGGGAACTCCTCATCCCCAGATGTTGCTTGGCACCCTCTGAGCTGAAGTCCAGGAGGACAGCTGCCAAGCACTGGCCAGGCTCTCTGTGGAAAACTAATCCTTGCTTTGAACAGGAAGCACAGAGGACAGGAGACAGTGCCAGCCACTTCCCCTGCACTTAGCACCACCACATCCCAAGAGATGCAGCTTCCCCCAGCCACAAAGGCAGTGCAGCTGCATACAGCCAAGGAGCTTTATCTTCAGCATGAAAAAAAAAAAAAAAAACAAGCAAGTTTTCTTTTAACACCTGGTAGGCTGGAAAGAAGCACAAATGACTTCTAGGCATCAACAGGTGTCAAAACCAGGCATCCCCAGAAGCTGCCCATCAGAGTAAGATCTACTATTGTGGACAAGTCACTAAACTGAGGCCCAATAAAGACAAATTGGCCACCAGCTGAAGCAGTCTTGCAGACCCAGTGGGATCTTTCTGGGCCAGGCTGCTTCCTTGCTCCATACAAGGAGCACCAGCAATAGCCATTAAACCATTAACCCCACACTGTGAGCCCAACAGACTCCTTTGAAGACTCAGCTTTCAGGAAGTCTGATGAAAGCTGATGAAGGGAACCCCAGAAGAAGCCCCATCCTGTTATGGTCACTCCAACAGGGCAGGCATGAAGGTGACAAACAGAGAGCAGACCCAATTTCTTCTGTTCAATAGCTGTTTCTCACATGGACCAGCAGTCTGTGGACATGCTGCCAAGGATGAAATTCTCCTTGCTGCCCCAGTTGTATGCAGCTACTCCCTAGGATGGATTTTAGAGATTTATCCAGCCAGTTTACTTTGAGAAAACTCCCAAGAAAACCCTCTGCTATTATTTTCTGCCTTTAGCAAGTTCCAGCTGTGTTTTTCCCCAAACTGTTGAAACAGAAAAAAGCACCAAGCTTTTAACTCACTTAAATTAACAACCCTGTTCCAACAGTCCCTCTCCCACACAGAGAAGACACTTGTACTCCAAAGCTGAAGTGGCTGCATGCATCACATAGAAGAGAGCAGAGGAGATTAACAGTTCAGCTTCAGACAAATCACTGTCTGCCCTTTGCAGAACACAGCTTTTCACAACTCCAAGTACAAGCTTGATTATGCCAGCTTTGACTAGAAGAGCCCTGGATGTGTGTGCTCAGGTCTACAGTTCATCCACTGATTGACAGGGAAATGGACAAAAACACCACAAATATTTTAAAGTGAAGATTTCGTCAAAACATACAAGTCAAGCAAGCACCAACAATCAAATGCTATGTTACTGAGTGCTAATGTATGCTATCCAAGCCTTAGGACTTGTGCTGAATACAAAAGCCAGCAGATAATACACTGCAGAGCTCCAGCTCCTGCTCTTGCACACAAGCTGAGAAAGATGCCTTCATTTTATGTTGTGTCCTTGCCCAATTCAATCAAGTGAATTGGAGAGCTGATGCTCTTACAGCACATACTTCAGATAAACAGACCTCAACCAGCTAAGCCAGCTCCAATAGCTCACAGTGAATTCCGAACAGTGACACAACTCAGCCCAAGTCGGATGAGGAAAAACTATGTAGACAGAAGCACACATCAGAGGGGCACATCTTCCTCTGCCTTTGAGGATGAATCCTTACAAGCAAAAAAATGAGATATTGACATTCTGTAAGGACAGCTTCCTACCAGTCCTAGTGAGGCACCTTAATACATGATACATCACCTCCACATCCAGCATCGGTGTTCCAGTAGTTCTTTGAGAAGCAGAAGACATGACATGTTTTAGGCATTATTCCCCCAACCACCAAGCGATCACTTGCTTGGCTCAGAACAGCACAGACAACCTATGGAAATCCCTTCTCAGATTTGCAAGTAAAAGCCACGTGGTTCTGTGTGGCTTCTAACCCATACCAGGTCCGCAGCACCACAGAAGTCAGAGACCTACCAAATTCCAAGGGATCAATATTGAAAGGAAGGGGGGGGTGTTTAAGAATGAGGCTAAAGGGTGCAGCAGTTTTCAAGCACCTGAAGGATGAAATGCTGCTCTCCAGACCCACTGGGAGTAGAGAG